TCCCTCAGCACCACGTCTGCCCGGCTTTTAAATACCTCCAGAGATGGAGACTCCACTGCTGCCCTGGGCAGCCTGATCCAATGTTTGATACGCCTCTGTGTAGCAGTAGATGTGAATTCAGAGACATAGGTAGGTGAATTCAAGGGTCAGGGTAGCAATACTGTGGGCTACAGAAAGAACGATGCCACATAATGGGAATTTCAAAACCACATAGAGGAGGTTAAAAGTTATAAAGTGTAAGAGGTCAGAAACTAGAAAGCAGATGAAAAAGTTCTATTTCAATCATTGGGCAGGAGGTCAGGGTACCTTTTGAAGATAACTAAGGAGAAGCGGGCAGCATTTGAGACAGCAAAACGTTTTGGTCACTGATGAGTGAAGCTTGGCAAGGCATGAATAGGATGGGGATGCATGGGAGGGTTGCCACAGGAGCTGCAATTATGATTAGATTAAATGAAGACACGGTCAAACAAACAGCTCTTCTGGTGAATTGGGCTGTTGATCCGACGACGTTGGGGCCAGGAGGGGATTTCACCATGGAAACTGAAAATACTGATTTGGAGGCTGTGAGAATGATATTGCTGTCTGAATCTTCCCCTCTCTTCCTCGGTGTTGAAGGAGAAAGTGGCTGGACAAGGAGACTGAGCACATACATTCAGAGATATTCAAGTAAAATGATTCTCCAATTTTTGACCATCTCAGAGGGCTTAGTACTGTGGACCCCCAGCAGTGGAATTGGCTTGGCTTGCACTCTTAAATAAAGCAACGCCACAGAGTGTGCAACTCATTCTGAAACCAGTTTTCTGTGTTATTTCTGGTCATTAGCTACAGAAAGTGTCCTACCCAAAAAATGTGTTTTTTCATGCATGTTGTTTGGGTGTGTGTTGGGAAGCATTGTACACAGGAATTGCCACGGGTGTTACATTGGCTTCTGCCATCCCACAACAGCTTTTTGATGCAGTTCTGAGAAGAAGGCTAAGTCTCGGTCCAAAAACTCGGATTTTTTTTTTTGTGTGTGTGTAATATCACAAAATTCTACCAACTCCCCAAAAGGCCAGTCCTACTAAAGAGTACACCTCTCCTTTTTTGAGTGTGGTGTTGGGACACACCACTGGTGTTGGGCCTGGGTTGGAGAAGGACTGGTGTTGCTTCTTGCTGGGCTGGAAGAAGGGGTCTTGCTTCTTGTTTCATTGGAAGAAAGGGTCTTCTAAGGGTATTTAGCTACTAAAATACTCTGGTAGGGCTGTGCTCGGTGGGATGCTGTCACTCATCCTATAGTAGGCTGTAGAACAGCTGAAGAAGAGGTGACCAAAGGGCTACAGCCTGCCCTTCTCTCTCAGTAAATATACTCTGTATATGACATTGAACAAAATAAATTTGCCTGTGTGGCTCACCTTATTCAAATATCACCTTGTTCTGATCCCGTTCTTGTGTAGGTCAAGTTTTCTGTTGGAGCCTTGCAGTCCTTCTGTCAAAATCCTATCCTCCTAATTTTCATTCTGAGTAATGTGGAACATAATTTTCATTCTAAGTCTCATTAAATAAAATTAAGATCAGTGCTAACAGATAGGAAAAGCTCTGCCTTCCTCTCGGGGAAGGTCTTATAGCAATTTCCCTGATGTGTCGGGGAAGTCGGGCTCTGCTTCTGTGGTGTGAGGAACCAGATCATGTTGCTGATGGGGATGTGGGCAGACACTGAGCTTTAGTCTTTTAGCCTTTGGTGTCAAGGTGAGCTCTTAAGAGACTTTAAAGGAGAATTAAAGACAATAAGAAATCTAACAGGCTTTATCTTCCATTGGACTGAAATATTAGAAGTATTAGGATTCAGAAGAGATCAGCAAAGTTAATGATAGAGATGTCATCTTTATGCAATAAAATGCATAGAAATGATGGCTTGCTATGTCAATAATAGCTCACGAGATACTGAACAGCAGCTCTATGTGTTAATTGGCAGGTCTGGATTACTGGATGTGCGGGGAAAACAGCTCCTCTGACCTCTGCTTGGTTTCAGCTAATTTTGAATTAAGAATTGAAATACTAAGGAAATTTCAGGGGACAGGAGGGAGGCAAATATCTTGCTAATAGGTTCTAAAAATGTCAATAAAATGACTAGGAGAACTATAATTTCTTAGCTTTACTTCAATTTCCCCCTTTCCAGTGAAGAAGTATATCAGTAAGACAAATTGATAGATCATTAACTAATTCTTCACATCAGGAGAATTATGGAGAACTGATACTTTTTGTCAAATATCATTGGTAGTAAAATTTCAGGTTTGATTCACAGAGCCAGAAGTGTTGATGTAGAGGATTCCTGTGTACGATTTCCTTGATACTACACAATCCTATTTTAAAAGGTAGAACGGTACCAACCGCAGTCACCCATAGGAAATGAATGGAGATTTTCTTTAACTAACACATCTCAGAATGATTTGAGGAATCCTTATTTCACAGTTTTCATAGCTAGGCATGTACCATGGAGAACCAGTTTTTAGCCTTCGCCTTCTTACATTTTTAATGATGTGCAAGATCACAGTAATTCATTATTGATCAAGTTTTCAGCTGACAGAAAGGTGTGGGAGAGAAAAGATAAAAAAACCAGGAGTGACAACAGAGAAAGATGTGTAAAAGCTGGTGCAACCCAAGATGAAGGAACAAAAGCCATCAGTCGCATTTGCGGGCAGGTGACATCTCCTGGGAAGCAGTTTGAGTAATTTGCTGTGTATTTGTGATACAAATGTCTAGACTGAAGATCTGACACGGTTCCCGTATCTGTGAACATTTAAACCAGGATGCTGAGGATCAGGGAATACTCAGCATTTTTGCTCTTGGTGCTGGGATGAGAGGTGGTCCTGGTGGGTGGTCCTGGTGTCATCAACTCGAGAATGTGTTTGGTTGGAGGATTAAACTGTAGGACCAGAAAACCAGTCTTGGGGCGAATGGCTGAGATAACTTGATGTGTTTAGTTCATAAATACCAATCCGTTGGAGAGCTTCACATTCCAGCAGACAAAATTTGATGGTTGAAACCCAAAATAGTCCCTGTCCAAGCTATAGATTACGTGCGAAAACTTAATGGTAATATTGGATAGCAGCAGGAGAGAGTCTGGTGAAGCTCTGTGGCCTGTTGTGTGTGACGGCCAAGAGCCAGTAATTGCAGTGATCTCCTCTGGCCTCAACCTTCGAGTCCCTGCCAAGCAGTCTGCGTACCAAAGACCTTTGGCAGACTACGGCCATTCCTTCAGGCTTCAGCATAACAGTAGCAGTGGCAGTAAGGAATATGATCTCTTTTGTACTTCAGAAATGAAGCTGATCTTGTGGAAACCATGCAGTCTCCTTTATCTGAAGAGCTTCGCCGCTTGTGCATAGAAGTGTGGACAGTGGAGGTTCCCTGTCTTCACCAAGATAGTGTGTGCTTGGTCTCTACGGGAACATCTGTGTTTCGTGATGGTGTTATTAGGTGTAACAGTACTGGAGAGATCCTCATCCTTTGTCCATGCTTGGATGCACGCTCCTTCTGGATGTTGAAGGATACCAATGACTTCCCTGTGGTCTAAAAACACCCCTGGTAGGAAGGTACTTTAAGAAGTGGTAAAGGTTTCCTTTGTGGTTAGCAGATAACTATCTGTTTCTGTCGTCAGTGATTTGGTCTGTTGGCTTCAGATGTTTAGTTCTGTTGTACAGCTCTTCAGGATCTCTTTGACTTCAGTTGAGTCATATTTGTGTCCTCGGCATGAATTTTAATGCCCATCTCTTGGCTGAGCACTACAGGACTTTGAAAGGCTAATTATTGTTGGTTGTTTTGTTGTTTGGTTTTTGGTTTGTTTTTTTTCCCTGAGCTTTGAAAGGCTAATTATTGTTGGTTGTTTTATTGTTTGGTTTTTGGTTTGTTTTTTTCTCTGACTGGAAAGCCTTTCCCAATTGGGAAGCTGGACAAAAATGAGGGGGTCATCTTCAAGTTCTTGCTTTACCTGTTGTTAATTAAGATGACTTCTTGTCCGTATGCAAGAGAAGAGTGTTTTGGTCTGTATTGGCTTCCTTCCTTCCACATGAGCAAATTTGCTTTGCGTCCTCATCTTGAGTAACTGCCAAATCTGCCCACCTGAGCCAGTTTTCCCTCCATTTTCTATAGTCTACCTCTTAACCTGAAATCCTATGTTCAGAAGGCTGTTTGTTAGGAAAAGAATGAAACCATTGGGTTTAGACTCCTGTAACTTTTGGATGATCAGCAGAAGGGGAATGCCACGGTGCCTAATTGGATCAGGTTGTGTGTCAAAATTAATACAGCTTAGCTCTGGTGATGGTGCCCAAGTGATTTAGAGCTCATTTTACTAGAGTTAACAGTGTTAATGAAATCCCCTTTTAAAACTTTCTATATCTGAAGTTCCTCTAACGTTTCCCTCCAGCCGTGAATTCTTGGTGTGAAATTGACAGTGGAGCTGGAGAGAACAGTTCTGGAAAGGCTTAAATGGAGCTCCCTACCCTGTCTTCTTCTCGAGGGTGATGGGGACAACTTGCCTCTGTCAGGGTCTGCTGGAAGGAGTTTGTTTTCACTTCCTCAGAGTGTCTCATCGCTGTCGGAGGACGCTGAGGTTTAGGACCATGAGATGGGTGGTTGAGCACTGTGTTCTTCATGCTCCCACGGTCAGCGTTGCTGCGTGGTGCTTTCGTACCAGCCCAGCGAGCGCAGATGGGGTGGCAGAAACTTCTCAGTTCCAACAACTCTTCAAAAGGGTGTTGGAGAGTCCGTGAACTCTCACTTGCTGGCAGGTAGCTGGGGTTTTTTAAAGTCTCGAGAGGAATTGCCAGTAACACTTCACAACTCCAACTGGGTTGGTGCTGCGCTAATACCAAAACCAGATAATCCTCACCCAGGTCGCTCTCAGCTCATTGCATCGTGCCATATTTGTGACACGTGACATCATCACATGTCTTTTCACAGTTTGGAAGACTCTGTGAGATGCCTTTGCAGTATAATTAAATATGTCTTTAACTCTCTTGTTTCAGGCTAGAAATCTTCATACGGGAGAACTGGCTGCTGTAAAAATAATCAAGTTAGAGCCTGGTAAGTTTTACATTCTTTTCTCTATTTTTAAATTGCGTTTTCATTTTTTCCATCTGTTTGTGTTGGTTTTTTTTCATGTGCCCCAGACAAAAGAAGTGTTTGGGGTTGTAGTTTCGGCAGTTAGATGACAGGAAGCACTACAGGATGTACCATTGCTTTTGGCTGTGTCCTGCTCACTGCATCCTTGTTTCTTCTTATCTGCCTCATCGATTGTTGCATAAAAAAGATGTTGCAGCTCCTGTGTGCTGCTGGTACAAAGAGAAGAATAAGAACTGATGGTAAATGGTGAGCTCTGAGACAGCAGGGAGCTGAAAGGGGGAAGGGACCAGGCAATGATGCTAATGCTCATCAAGAATGCACCGGGGAAAAATAGACCTCTCTGCTTTTCAGTGTCATCTTCTTTTTCTAACCTGTTCTGAAGAAAGAGGATGGCTCCTACTGTCATTTCCCCGTGCATTTTCTGCCACTCCTTCTAAAATAAGGAGACGCGGGAGAGGCTCGCTTGCTGCCCAGGAGATTTGCTGAGCTGAAGCCTAATCTGAGTCCCTCATAGAGACCTGAAATCGGAAATCGTGTCCTGAGTAGAAACAAGAGGAGCTTTTTGTCTCCTCAGTCATAATTCAGTCCCACCTGAGGATCTTGTATTTGTTCGAAGAAGTAATCTCTCATTATCTGGTCGCTGGCATACCTTGCAAATCCCACCTTAGCACAGTCCTCTCCTGTGTCTCTTTGCCACGTTAGTTTCTCTGGGGTTGTGGTTTCCCTGAGCTGCTGTGCTGTGAACGTGTGCTCGCCTGGTGCTTGTGGACTGGCACCTGCAGCCTACGAAGCAATTAAGAGACAATTGAGAAAGTGCTAGGATTTATGGAGGCACAATGAGAGAGCTTCCATGACTGGAGCGCTGCAGGGAATAAATATGAACTCTTTAGGCAGGAAAAATGGAGGAAAATCTGGAAAGACACATGACATAGGAGAGGCTGGTAGGACTGAGTGGTTTTTAATCTGGGGACAAGAACGCTGGAGAGGGGTCTCCATGGTGGACTGGCAGAGGAGCTGATGCCAGACTCTTGTCAGGAGTCCTGGGTGAAGGGGAGGGAACCAGCCATCACAGTCTGCACTAAGGGAGAATCCAAAAAATTCCTCACAAGGAGGGTGTTTGTGCTCTGCGACAGGGCCCAGGGAGGTGGTGGGATCTCATCCTTGAAGATCTTTGAAGTTGACTGGGTAAGGCCTTGAGGAATGTGACTTGACTCTGCAGTTAGCCCTGCTTGGAGCAGGAGGTTGAACCAGAGACCGCCTGAGGTCCCTGCCAACCTGTCGTCTGTTTTGATGACCAGCACTGAAATGTCTCCAGTCCCTAAACACCAGCAACTTTTATGTTTTGAAAATCTGTGTTGTTGATGGGGAGCTCACCATGTCAGTACATTGCTACTGAGGTGGACGTGCCATCTTCCTCTTTCTTCCTTTCGTGTCTCATTTGCTTGTTGTTGCACGTTTCTATTCAGTCACTCAGGTTGAGAGACATCATGGGTTCCTAAACACAAAGGCTTTGCTAATGTCTGTAGGTCCTTGAGGAGCAGAAAGGTTGCTCCCTTTCCTCCTGGTCTCTCCAAACATGCATCCCTGAGCCATGGCTCTGCCCATCCTGCTGTTGAATTTTGTGATTCCTCTAGCTTTTTATTAAAAGCTAGCACAACTTTTCAAGTTCTATGGTGTTTACCCAAGCCATCTGACCACCTTGAGCACCTGTACCTCTCCTGTTGAGGACTCCATGACCAGTGGTATCTACAGATTGCCAGTCTTAGAAACCAAATGTTTTAAAATTTTGATTTTATCCTTATGAAGTTTCAGAGACGACTGTTTTTAGACAGCAGTAAATATATTCATTTTTCATACAAGTTTAGTGTTGTCCAGCTGGCTTCTAGGCCAGCTAAAGTTTTCCAACATGTCTGTTACTTTGAATAATAATTTTCCAACCTTTGACAGGAGGATCAATGCTTAGTGCGTGTGCCTCACTCCATATTTCTTGGTTGTGAAATCCCAGATGAAAACCTTGAGGGAAGAGTGATAATGTCTTCACGGTTGGGGTTTTTTTGTCTTCCAAAAGTTCCTTCACGTTGTTAAAAGATAACAATCTTGCATGAAATCTCTCAATATTTTGGGGGGCTGTTTTCTGCCATTTTGAAATGGTCAAGCAGCTAAGCAGGAATTTGGGTTAACTCACCAAAATAAAGATGGGGTGTGGGGAAAAAGGACTGGGAACATTTCTGAAATGGGGAGCTTTGGTGGCTTCACCCATCTTTTCTTCCTCTGGAGCAAGATTATGAGGGAGACTGAAGGGCTGGTTGTAAAGTGGGAGAGGAAGAGATTGGGAGTGCCCATCTATCATGGGGTTAGAGAATATGGGAGAAGAGGATTTTGAGTCCATCTTTGTCTTATTTACAGTCAAGACCAGCAGATGCCTCTCCCTCTTCATGGGATGTTGGTTTCCCTACTGCCCTCTAAGACATTCCAAGGTGGTTTTGAGGATTTCTGCTGAAACTTGTTGCTTTTAGTGTAAATTAAAGATGAATTGATTTAGACAGCACGTGAGAGTGACTCCATTGCCTGGTGTTCAGGGTGATGCCTGTCTCTTTTGTGAAGTGATCACAGGAAAATTAATTTGGGCTTTCCCACAAGCAAGAAAGGTATGTTATCTTCTGGACTGCTTGCTGTGAGATTTCCCATGAGCCTAGCTGTTCGTTCCCAAGCAAGATATATATATATAAAATTTTTTTAAACAGTTAAAAGTTCCTGAAATCTGAATATTTTTTCAGTTGGAAAAAATTGAACAATTCCACTGAATAAATGAAAAGAAAAGGCTCAGCTTGATTCTTTAGCTTTTCTTTTCCTTCTTCCTTGACGTTTCTACTGAAGTCTATTAGTGCAGGTAAACAGGCAAAGAGCAGCCCGGCCGCTGCTTCCCTTGGAGCTCTCATCTTCTGGAGTCAGCAAGGTCTTCTGCAGAGCACGCGACACAGTTCGGGTGTCGGTGGCTGTGACTCAGTCCTCATTACGTAAAAGTCCAGAATTTCTGAACCTTCCTACTGACACTGGAATTAATCATCACATGACCTAGAGAACAACGGTCAGTGGGCAAAACCTGGGGCATGGCCTTAACTCCCACCAGTGTGACCTCTGCAAGCCATTCTTGACTCCTTCAGCTGTCCTTTCAGTCCTCAGCTGTTTGATCTCATTAGGTGGTAACCTCTCTGGAGCAGGACTGCCTATTGCCCTGTCATTATTCGGTTTTCCTCTTGTTTGGAGATGGCTTTTATCAATTTCAAGGTAGTAAACAGCAACAGAGCAGGATAGTTCTCGTGGCCCTGCATCCTTCATCCTGTCCCCACGCTACTGCATCCCTTGGACTGGAGTGTGTATTTCATGGAATTACAGCATTTCATTTAGGTGAATTCATTTAGAATCATAGAATTTCTCTTAGGTGAAAGCAGAGGAGTGAATGGAGCTGGGGGTGGATTTGGAGGTGGTGGCTGCAGTGAGCAGATGGCAGGCTCCAAGCGACAAGGAAATGTGGTTTTCTCTGCAAGATCTGTGAAACTCTTCATTGTATTAAGTCATGTTTACATAGGTGCAAAAAGCAACTGTACAAATTTATGTCAGAGAAAAATACATGAAAGGCTATTAAACACAAAGATCCACTTCACCGTGCAGCCAAAGAGATGTTTTTGAAGGCTGAAGGTAGAAGAAGCGTGGGGAGGCTCAGGGGAGAAGCTAAAACCACTGCCATTGGGTGGTGGTGACTACTAACCTTTCCTTAGCAAAGCAGGGCTTTTATTAGATATGTGGATTGCAGTGATAAGGCTAATGAGGCAACGTTAAAGGCAGTGGAAACCACAGCGGGGATCCCTCAGCCCCTGCTCGGCAGCGTGTGAAAGGCTGTGGCCAGTGTTTGGGGTCAGTGGCGCCGGGGAGAGCGAACCACCACTGGGTTTATCTCCCAGCAGGTCTACGATGGGGCAGAGCAAGGCTTTAAGGACAGAAAAAAGGGCAGTATGACCCTGCTCCCGACCGAGGGAGAGGCTTCCTCCAGCGTTCACGTCACCACACCTGATCCACATGAAGGAAGTAGGGTTTTCTTGTGAATTTGAAGAGCTGCTTTGAAAACTGAACGGAAGAGAAGGTGAATTCTCTGCCCTTGGAGCTGAGGGAAGAGCAGGAACCGATGGAGCCTGAGCAACCCCTGCCTTTGCTTGGTGCTGCTCAAATACTACAGTGAAAGGGGGAAGACTTTGGCCCAAAGTCACCACTACCAAGAACCCCATTTTAATTAGCGCTGATGACCACTTCTTCTATGTTCCATTATGTTGTAGGTCTGACTTCCAAAGGGAAGCCATTTCTTCTAGGGTTGGCTTGTTGGTTTTTTTTTCTTAAATATACATCTTATTTTCAATGTTGCCAGCCTGATCTCCATCCATAGCATGTACACCCACAGCCTCTTGGCAGAGATCTTGTTGTGGGGTTGTGCGTGTGTTTTGTTTTTAAGGAGGGCTCACAGCATTTGTTTACTTGTTTTATTTATTTTTAGTTCTCTGGGATGTCCACTGCCTCTGCAGGGTGGCTGGACTGTGGCTGTCTTTGCAGGAAGATGTGGCTGTTCAAAATCTTCCAGATTTAAAAAAAATAATAATCATCTGCTCATCACTTCAATGTTCTGTCTAATTGGAAGGGGTCTGAATAGCTTTGTAGGACTTTACTTGCAAAGCACCATCAATTCCTGGACCAGAAGCTGGTGGTCCCCCCTGGGAAGCACAGCCCCTCCGAGCACCAGCACAAGCTCCTGTCAGACCATAGGGCACAACTAGAAAAAGACTGGTAATAAATTTTGTAAGTTAGTCATCAGAGAAATAAGCTTGTGATTTATATACACCATCTTCTGGAGAGGAGAGGAGGAGGTGGCTCATGGCTGGGAATTAATTAACAGATGGAAAAATAAGAGCTCC